CAGCAGGAACACATGCACATGAATGAGGTGCAATCTACACCTTTAGTGGACACCTCTACGGCTACGGCGGCACCCGGGGAACTGAATGTTACAATGGATGCAGTTACAGGAACTGGAAAATTGGATGGGGCGAGTTCATCGCATGGTATTGGGGAGGCAGTTATGAAGGAAGATAATGTACATGATTATGGGCCGTGGATGCTGGTTAAACGACATTCCAATAGATTCTCACAAAAGGCTAATTCGAATAAGAAATTTGAAGGTACCCAATTCAACCATATTGCAGATCCATGTGCAAGGATATAGGGTCAGGTGGGGGATCTCGTTTCTCTCATTTGCTAGATTCTCCCAAATCCCAATGAAGATGTAGTCTTCTCAGCAGGGAAATCTATCAAGGGAGTAAGTAATAGTGGGGCCCACCCTATCAAAGTGGCATATATGGGCTCATCCAAAAAAGGTAGATTTGTAAAAAAGGCCATGTCTGTTGAAGGTAGCTCTAAAGTGCATTCCAGTTTGGATTTCAACTCCAAGCCCAATAAGGCTAGCTACTTTCCTTGTCCACAACAAGTGGTGGGGGGTCAAAAAAAACACCTGAAAGTACTCCGATTTTTGATCGAGAGGTAGGAGGCAAATCTGGTTGCCAACAGCAAGCTAGGGATAAGGATTTTCAAATCTTTAAATTCCTTCAGGAGTCAGAGGAGGTATTAGTAGATGAGAAAGGATCTCTACAAATAAAATCTATGCAACCACACATAGACTTGGGGGTTTCTAGGCTGGCCAATCATACGAACTCTTTGAAAAAGGTAATTCCTGGTGGTTCTTCCTCGCTACCTCCACAAACTGATGTTGGTGCTCAAGGGCCAGATATGGTTCCCCATGACCAAACCTTTTTAGGGGATGACAATATGCTCTTATGTAGTGATGATTCACCAAGGCCACTAGAGGCCAACCCACCCTTACAATCTAAATGAATATTCTCTATTGGAATTATCATGGGGTAGCCAGTAGAGGGTTTGCTACTCTGATCAAAGACATTATGTTAGAATATTCTGCTTATTTAATCTTTCTCTTGGAAATGCATGTGAGTGGTGCTAAAGAGGAGGCGATTATTAAGCGAATTGGACTAGATGGGGTGTTTATTGAAAAGGTGAGGGGCCATGTAGGAGGTATTTGGTGCCTGCGGAACCCCTCCTTGTGGAAGGTCCAGGTTCTTGACAATTCTCATTATCATGTTCATATGAGAGTTAATTGGCAAAATACTGGTGAATGGTTACTTATTGTTGTTTACTACAGCCCTCATTATCAGCATCGTCAAGAGTTATGGGATGTCCTTAGGGAGTTATCTTTGGACATTGACTGTGCTTGGGCGATTCTTGGTGATTTTAATTCTATCATTCATCCCCATGAAAGGAAAGGTGGTTCTGCTAATCCTTCTAATAGAGGTATATTGGGGTTTAGCAATATGATCAACAATTGTGACTTGATCGATGCTATTTTTCAAGGTTATCCTTTAACTTGGAAGCGTGGCAGTTTGGAACAACGGCTAGATATGCTTTTAATTAATATTCAATGGCGAATGAAGTTTACAGAGGCGACTGTTTTTCATCTACCTCCTTTTAAATCTGATCATCGACCGTTATTGGTTCGTTTGGATTCAAAGGAGTCTTCAGATAAACACAACAGGCCGTTCAAATTTCTTGCTTCTTGGATTACTCACGAAGATTTTCATAGGTTTGTGCGCCACCATTGGAACCCCATGTTAAACTGGAACAGTCAAATTCTTTCCCTTCAGAAGGAGCTTCAAAGATGGAATAAAGAGGTATTTGGTAATATCTTTTATAAGAAGCGTCGCGTTCTTAGAAAAATGGAGAAGATAAATCTTAATCTTAGCCTTGTTGAGGGGAGACTGTATGAGGAACAACTTCTAAAAACTTGGAAACAATATGAGTTAGTCATCTACCAAGAGGAAATTATGATGTTTCAAAAAGCCAGGTCCAAGTGGCTTAGTTTGGGCGATAGAAACTCGCGTTTCTTTCATGATACGACCATCATCAAAAGAAGAAGGAGTAAAGTGGAAATGATTCAAACAAAAGAGGGGGATTGGGTAACTGATCCTGGTAATTTATAGGAGCTAGCTACACAATTTTATAAATAACTTGTCTCTGGTAACCAGGATTATCAAGAGTTAATGTTTAGAGGTATGTTTCTAAACCTTAATGAAGCTGATGTTCTATCTTTGGGAAGACAACCTTCAAGTCAGGAAATCTTTCATATAGTCAGAAACATGGGCCCTTTTAAAGCCCTAGGTCCAGATGGGTTCCAAGCAGTATTTTATCAAAGTTAATGGGAGGTTGTGGGCGAATCTTTAATTCACTTAGTGCAAGATATCTTTCACAACCCCCATAAGGTGGCAGATATGTTAAGTCAAACGAAGCAATTCTCAGTAAGGTTTTGAATGAGACAAATATAATGCGTATTGTTATTTCTAACAAGTGTGTTAGTGTTTCAGATATTGACATAAGTATGACAAATTGAAAAATAAATAATATACATGTATTACCGTCTACACCAGAACCAAGATATAAGCTAAGCACCGGATAAAGACTGATCAAAAGAAAGAAATACATCAGACGAAGACACCCACAAACGCAGACACAAAGGAAGTAAAGAACAAGAGCACGAGCAACCAAGATGAAGGGAAAAAGCTAACAAAACGTCAGATGAGGAGATCAAACGATCAAACGAAATCAAGCCCAGCACAAGAAGAAAAATAATAAAGTCTCAGATGATACAAGACCATGGACGATGATAGTTGACCAGACAGAGACTCAAATGCACAAACAAAAAACCAAGAAGGCTAGATTGCGCACCACTAGAAAATTGCAACATAGCGACCAAAATTTATCAGTCGCTATTTAGCGACTAAAATAAGTCGTCGCTAGAAAATCGGTCGCTAAATAATAGTTAAAATTAGCGTCAGAATTGAATTCAATCGCTAAATAGTAGTTAAATTTAGCGATAGAATTGAATTCGGTCGGTATTTCAGTCGCTAAATTATAAATTTTGATTTTTTTAGCGATGGAATTCATTCGGTCGCTAAATAATAGTTAAAATTAGCGTCAGAATTGAATTCAATCGCTAAATAGTAGTTAAATTTAGCGATAGAATTGAATTCGGTCGGTATTTCAGTCGCTAAATTATAAATTTTGATTTTTTTAGTGACAGAATTTAATTTGGTCGCTAAATAATTGTTAAAATTAGCGACGGAATCGAATTTGGTCGCTATATAGTAGTTAAATTTAGCGCTGAAATTCAATTCGGTTGCTAAATTTTAAATTTTGATTTTTTTAGTGACGGAATTTAATTCGGTCGCTAAATAATAGTTAAAATTAGCGACGGAATCGAATTCGGTAGCTAAATAGTAGTTAAATTTAGCGATGAAATGCAGTTCTGTCGCTAAATAATAGTTAAATTTAGCGACAGAATTGAATTCGGTCGCTAAATAGTAGTTAAATTTAGCGACAGAATTGAATTCGGTGGCTATTTCGGTCGCTAAATTATAAATTTTGATTTGTTTAGCGACGGAATTTAATTTGGTCGCTAAATAATAGTTAAAATTAGTGATGGAATTGAATTCGGTCACTAAATAGTAGTTAAAACTTAAAAAAATTTATAAATTGCTTAAAAGTGATGATAATATTTTTGTTGAGTATCAATCCCATTTTCTTTTTTTTGTAAGAGCAAGACATTAATTTATATTAAAAAAAATATTTATATGCACTCCTACATAATTAATACCAATACTTATTTATGTGAAAAAATATTTAGAGGTTTTTTTTTTTTTACGATTAGATTTTTAGGCAGTTTTTTAATTAGAGTATATGAATTTTAAAATTTCTTATTTATTTTGATCCATATTTATAATATATATTTCTAAGTTATGATAACTTTATTTTTAAATGAATTTTTATATTTAAATTTTAAATTAGTATTTTATTAATGGTTGATAATTAGAAAATAAAACAAGGATAAATACATTTTTTGAATTTTATATCTTAGATTTAAGATGAATAAATATATTAAGTTAATTAATAATTTATTTAAAATGTTAAAATTTAATTTATAAAAATAATATTTTAAAAGAGAAGGGTTATAATAACATCGGTGTAACTTTTACTAAGTATTACATCGCTCAATAACTTTATATTAAATGTGAATTTTATAAATTCAACCGTTAGATTGAAAGTTTTTTACTCTTAGATCATATATACAAAATCTTATATGAATTCAAGATGATTTGATACTTCATTCTTGTAAAACAAAATTGACGTAATATATTCATTTCAAATAAAATATGAGCACTTTGATTACTTTTAAGTTGTTGTTCAATTTTAACAAAAATTGATATAAACATATAAAGTGATATGAACTTTCAATCTATCGGTTGGATTTACAAAATTCACATTTAATATAAATTTATTGAGCGGTGTAATACTTAGTAAAAGTTATACCAGTGTTATTATAACCCTTCTCATTTTAAAATATATAAATTATTACTTAAACTTTTAAATTTATAATAAATAATTTAAATTGTATCATAAAATTAATTTTAAATAGAAATAAGTAGATTGTTAATTAAGTAAGTATATATATAAATAAAGATTAATTAAATATAATATAATTATTATTATTAGTAATATAATTATTATATATATTATTATATATTTATAACGGTCCGGATATACCAAAATGATAAGGATCCAAAAATAATATAAGTATGAGATTGGATAGTTGATGATGACTTAATAATGAATTAATTTGTATTACTTATACTAACAACATGCATTTGCTTTTCGGTAGTTTATCTAATAAGAACTTCACAGTTAAGGGTGTTTGACTTGGAGTAATGTAGGGATGGGTGACCTTCTGGGAAGTTTCCAAAAATTGTGTAATTAAGGACAAAACATGCTAAAAACTTAAGTATTGTGAAATAAAATCCTTAAGAGGCCAAATATGAGTGGTTCATAGCGACCAAATTTGCGACGTCTATAAAATTTAATAAAATAAAAAATAAATATTTAGCGACCGATTTATTCGGTCACTAATTTGGTCCCATATACTTCAGCGACCAAAATGATTTCAACCATTTAGCGACCGAAAATTTTTCAATCGCTTAATAGTTTAGCGACCAGGGTTTTAGCGACTGATTAAATTCGGTCGCTAAGGTAAATAGCGACCAATTTTTCCAATTTAGCGACCGATTTCTGTGGTCGCTAAATTGCATATTTTTTGTAGTAGCGTCTGAAGTCACAACGAGAAGAACTACCTAGCATCCACACTCTTAGAAGAACAGATGAAGTCATCAAAATGGAAAAAGAGAAAAGAGAAAAATGGACTAGCGCCTATCCACAAATCAAAGCTGCATGTGTCAGAGCAAGTAGACCTACTAGTCAACAAAGGACAATGCCTCTCTATAGCTACAATACCAAGAAAGTACAGAGATATCTAGGTCATGATTAATGTCAGATATAGAAGCAAACAAACGGTACAAAAGACTTCGTGAAGCGTAAATTCAACAAGCAAACATTTAATGCAAGATCAGATGCATTAAAGGCAAGAATCCACGAAACCTGTGCAAACTAAACAAGAGAATCAAATGATGGCTAGGTAAGCATCAAAACAAGGTCTGCTCACGGATGGAAGAACATTCAACAAACACTAGATGAGGACTATTACAAGAAAGAGACATTGGAGTATCAGAAGAAAAGCTAAAATGAGACCAAACCTGGAACAAGAAAAGCTGTGTCGAACATCAGATGAAGCCAAATGGTCAACTCAATTAAAAGAACAGTTAAGGTAAGGCACATCATGAGAACTAGAAAATTCAAGGTAATTGAATAGATAAAGTAGAATATGTGCACCAGACGACTATGAGTCCAATATCAGATGGATGTGTGTCAAGAACAACCTCCAGTGCAACATGAAGAACTGGACCAAGCATGAGACAAAGATAAGAAGAAAGTCAACTATGCATCAGACGAAGGACAACACAGACTGAAAGACACTCCAAATAGAAATAATGTCTGTCTATTCACATTGTTGACCAAATCAAAGAAAAATCAAAGCATTAAACTCAGACGCTAAGACAAAGGTCAAGATTGAGATGCATAGGACCAACAGACAAAGACAAAGACTACCACGCAAGCAATTAAAGAATCAAGTCTCAAAGGAGTACTCATGCATCGTCTACAATCACATAAGTACTCTAAAAAAATAACATGATCAAAGGAAGAGAAGACAAAGAAGAAGGAAAGCACGCACAAAAGCAAAAGCATGCATGTGTCATAAAAAGCACATCACTTTTCAGATAAGGACAATACTCACAGCTACGAGACCAGAAAAGGTTCCTAGGTCTTAAATAAGGTCAGACACAATAGCTAACAAATGAAGAAAATTACATGCAATGTCTATGAACGGGAAGCAACAATTAATGCAAGAACCTGAGCATTAAATGAGAAGACCAAACTTGTCATGAACGACTACATCAACTTCAATGAACATATGCAACGGGCAAATTTTACAGGCCTATAAGTATGCAATAACCTCAAACCAAAAAAGGCTGGCAAGAAGCAATGAAAGAATGACTATAGGCATTGCCCTGGGCTCTGAGCATTAAGCACCAAAAGTAATATCAAGCCCAAAAGAAAAATAGAGAAATCAGAGGTCGATTCTTCATAGTCAAATCTACAATGTATTATTGTATTAGTCTCTATAGTCTAAGGTGTTCCGAGTGTATCTTAGGAAAGAGACCTTAGTGAGTGTTGCAATCTTATGTATCCTCTTTGTAAAGAGTAACTCACACACTCAGAATCTCTGTAGGACTAAGGTAGTGAAACCTTAGAGAGTGTAGATCAAATATGTATCCTCTCTGTGAGAGTAACCCAAACACTCAAACTTGATTATACTTCTATCATCTGTAAAGCCTGAAGAGGCTAGGGAAAAAATACTTGTAAAGCCTAGAGAGGTAAGTCAAAGAATACTCACTTCTAGCCAGAACTGGCTGATAAGAATATACTAGCATCGACGAGTGAAGCCGACGGGCCAGGAAGTGGTTGAGAATACTCACTG